GATGAAATACAAATAGAAATGCGATGGTTCTGTGCATAAATAGAAAATACCCTGATTCACATCACATCAGTCATCACACATACGAAAACAACCAAATACATTCCTGTCACACACTGTTTTTAGCATTATTCAAAACGCAGATAAATAACATGCACGTGCATTAGATTTATGAACTATATTCGACCTGACATATAAATTGACTGCGTGATTCAACTACCTCAGATCTCATCTGACAATAGTACTTTTAGCCAAATGCCATACACGTTCTTCACCATATATATACTAACGCACGCACATGAACATGCTTGTTAGAGAATGTATAATTCATGAGTGTGTGAATTTGTATTTTGTATCTACAGTTGAAGCTAAAATACAGTCCCTTGCCACATATGCTGTTGGACAAAAGACAAAAATAGATTTGACTGAAAAAATACAAATGTCATCAAATCGTTACTGTATCATATGTTATATTTGTGATTACACCTTCTCAGAAAAGTACAGATTCTACAACTTTTGTTGGGTTGAGGCCCATCCGGGATTCGAACCCACGCCCTCAACCTGCTTGTTTAAGCCGTGTTGGCTGAGCGGGTTAGGCGGCTGACTTTGTGTGCTGGCGATGAGGTGCCTGACTCTGAGGGTGTGGGTTCGACTGAGAAGGTGTAATCACAAATATAACATATGTTACGTTTAACCACTTTCTAAATGACACTGAGCAATCAAAACCTTACTACTGAAAACAGCCACCGAAACATTGATAATGTAGCCCCTCCCCAAAAAAAAAAAAATAATAATAATAATAAAAAAAATATATATATATATAAATTTAAAAACAAAAACAAAAACCAAACCGAAAAACAAAACAAAAATAACCAAAACCAAACAATAAACCACAACACACACACCCCACACTCCCAAAACAAGCAAAAAAATCCTCCCAAAACAACAACAAACCAACAAACCATGATATCTAATTTCAGCCATAATCAAACACTGGAGTAACTTTCTTTTGTCCAGGGGTGTATTTTGTCACGGAGAATCAATCAGGTTGAACTGAGAACGGTATGGACGACATTTGTGTGAGAATGGCGATGTACAGGCCATCCCTTTAGCGTCAGACGGCATGCACTGCAATGTCTGTTTCGCTGGAGCTGACAGATCATGCCCAGCAATGATTAATAAAAGTGCAGCAAATAAGTAATATGACAGATATTTGACGATAAGCTCCACCTGAACTGTACTGTGGATTGTTGTAGGGTGCAGATTTGGCGCCCAGATTAATTGTTTTCTGTTTACGACAGACAGTGCAGACAGCAGTCCTTCTCATCGAAACTAGTGATCCGATCTGCACAGTATTTAATATTAGTGTGTGAATATAGTTTTACGCATTTTAAAGCACTATCCGTCATCATATTACAGCAATAACACGTAGAAGGACATACGTGACTGAATATAGTTTTACGCCGTTTTAAGTACTATTCTTCATCTTATTACAGCAATATCACGCTGGAGGACACCAGAAACGGACTTCACACGTTGTGTCCGGGTGTGCACTTTTAGAATCAAACCCGGGCCTTTGGCGTGGCGATTGAACACTTTAATCACTGCTCCCCAATTAAAATGAGTATATATAAGCATACACATTCTTCACTTCTCTATAGCTCGTGAGAGCCAGGGGGCAGCAACCCTCACCCCTTCACCCCCTCCCTCTAAATACGGAAACAATTAAACTGAAAACATATCCATAAAAATACCCCAAAAGAAATGAAAACACACAGCAAAAAACCCCAACCCCCAATCCACAGTAGCGTATGGGATCTTTCATTAAAACATACAATATATTCTATTGTGTTCATTACTTCAAGGAGTTTAAAAACAGTTTGGCTCTAATCTGAATATTAAATCGAATGCTTATTTTAGACCAATATCCAAGATGGTCGCAATATTTAACCAAGTTTCATTTTAGTCTAAAATTTAAAGCGAAAGCTATTTTAGCTGTAAAAATACAAGTTGATTGACAGTCACTATGATGCCCAAATTCTACTGCTGCGAATAGCACACACTTTATATTTACATTCATTTACATAGAACTAGAACAAGGAATGAAAATGAAAGTGCTTCTCACCCTATCTATTATTTGTAGAAGAAAACTTTATATTAAACTGTGATCAAAATTCAGTGTCTGAATCGCTGAACTGAATGGTGAATCTACATAAGAGTTCGCCCATGAGCAACCATGGCACACATGTCAGTGCAAAGGAGGATGTTCTCATGACATACACAGAGCCTGGTTAAATATCTTGATATAGTGCAGCCAAACTTCACCAGATCGCTGCAGAACCTCGAGGAAGTGTTGTGGGGAAACAGAAAGTGTCCTTATGGAACATGCAGCCTTGTAATGGTGTCTGGCAGATGTTTGATTAAACGAGCATTTGCTGGACCATGTACCTCTAGTCTTTGCAGATCATCATTAGGCTGATATTGCCATAACAGTAACATGTAATGTGCGCTTTCCATCTGGCGTACTTTTTGCAAAATCTACATAATCCACAGCAAAGAATGTGTGGGCCATGGACATTACTGGATGGCACATATACTTATTCCTGTTCCTTTCTGGCTAAAGCAGCATTTGCAGTCTGCTTTTCAAGACGAAGTAGTCAGTGATAGTCAAATGAGATACAAAATCCATCCAGGATATTGATGACCTTCTTGCTGCGTATTCCTTGGCAATTAGCTATGCCTAATTGGCACTGTTAATTGCTGTGACACTGACCACACGTTGTTGATTAGGGGCTCCTTTCCCGAAGCAACCTTTACTAAGGTTAACCTTAACTCCCATTCTTTAAGGTTACCTTAGTGACTTACGATCACCTTGGTGCTTTGTGAAAGGAGGCGAGGATTTGCTCTTGCTTGAAGATGTTAGAAGGATCTAAGACGGGTAAGCGAATAGGAATTGAAAGCTAGAATCTGTGACCGGACTGAAAGCGTGCCCTCATTAACCTCTAGTTAATCTGAT